GCAGAGCCGGCGCAGGGAGGGGGGGGGGGCTGGAGGGCTTCGGGCCGTAACTCCGCGCGGAACGAACGGGGGAGAAGAAGAAGTAGAAGGCCTTGGAAGTTTGCGCTGGAAGACATAACAAAAATTGTTTGGGCATCGGCGAGAGAGAGAGAGAAAGAGATAGCGAGCGAGTTGCGGATAGAGAGCGGAGTGGATAGAGCGTTAGAGAGAAAGAGAAGAGGGGGAGCAAGAGAGAGGGAGAGAGCAGTGGGAGAGAACAGTTGAAACAGTGAAGTATAATGGAAGCATATTTGAAGAGAGCAGCTCGGCGCAGCAGCCCGGCCAGCAGGGGATCGGCTTGTAGTACAACTGGGCGCCGTGCGCCCCTCGCGGCCGCGGCGTTGTTCCGGGAGGTTAGTTGTTTCACGTTTGGGCGGGGCGGCGCGGGGCGGGGCGGGAGGGCGAGGCGAGGCCACAGCTGCGCGGCTGCAGCCTCATCGGCAATAATATTCGCAGCAGCAACATCAGAGAAGGGGGTGGGAGGGCGAAAGTTTAGTTGCGCTGCCGTCGCTTTGCTCGTCCGCGAGACGTGACGACGAAAAACAGGAGTCATTTGCAGCTTTTCGCGCCGTCATAGTCCTCCCTCCGCCCTTCCACGCCCCGCCACGCCCCGCCACGCCCCGCCACGCCCCGGCGCACCACGTATTCATGCGTCATAATGGCTTTTATGCAAGCTTTGCGCCGCTTTTGCCCCCCCCTCCCCGACCCCTTCCCCTGGGGAAGGGGGAGAAAAAGAAGAACACGAAACAAAAAGGAACGCACGAGCGGGAAGAGGAAATGATGCGTTCGTCACCCGTAATTCTCTGGGCCGCTGACGCGCGACCTTGCGCAGCGTTGGAAACCATGACGCGAGAGAATCGTGCGCCGTGCTGCTCTCGCCAGCGCGCAATGCGAGAGAAAACCCAGCCGCAAAAGCAGAGAGAACGAGAGAACTCTTGGTCGGCCAGGCTGCACTTGCACTTCAGAGCTAACGATGATAGAGGTTTTTAGAACTACCCCGTGGTCGGAATTGTTGAAGTATGTTTTTTACGTTTTTGCAATTTAACTGCGTGTGCAATTTTGCAGTCGAACTGGTAGCCTGACTAGTGAACAGACGGTGGCGGTGAAAATGTGAGGTGCAAATCCTTCTCCCTGGGAACAGCCTACATACTGCAGCGCCTGGGCGGCTTGCGGCGGCTCTGGCAACCCTACCCGAGTGCCGGTGCCTCTGGGCAACCCTGAGCAGTGCCAGTGCCGCCTAGGCAACCCAGTAGCACTCAATAACTTTTTGCGAAAGGTACGGGGCACGGGGCCTATAGGAAACGTGTACCATACGTACAATTCATATAATAAATAGCCGCCAAAAAATATTTCAACAACGTTTTTGTATCATGTAAAAAGTTACATATTTTCCACGCAGAGTATCGGGGTGGAGAATTCCCTCCCCTTCCATCTGGGGATGGCATCCCGAGTCAGAGCCGCTGCTGGATGAGCGGTCCGCGTGGCTGAAAAAAGAGGTGGAGGGGGTG